CTCTCTCTCTCTCTCTCTCTCTCTCTCTCTCTCTCTCTCTCTCTCTCTCTCTCTCTCTCTCTCTCTCTTGTCTCTCCCTATTTTCTTTTCCGAACGAATTTTTAAAATATTTATGATCCAGCAACAATTCCCGCGAAATCTTAACGACACGATAATATGTTTTGTGACTTCTTCTTTATTTCTCTTTTTTCGCGAAACAGAACTAATAGATTTCAGTCCCGTCAGGCGTGACTGTGCCAGCTACGTGTCTTTACTCGAAGAAAAATGCAGTTTTTTCGTTAGTTACGCACGTCCCGCGCATAATGCAATTAGTCATGTAAAGCAAAAAAGTAATGCTACCTCGCACTGTGGTGAGCAGTCGCGCGAGTAATTGCAATTTTCGCCTGCGTCTCAGGAGCGAGTGAAACAAGTGAACGACCGAGAGACACTTGGTGAAACAAGGGTATTTCATTATGTATCATCGTTGCAAATAAAGTGCAAAAAAGATTTGTTTGTATTTTCATAATTCTCGACATACATGTCGCCGAGTGAAATACGATAAAAAGTACATCAATGAGACTGAATTAAATTTTGTCATTTGTGATATTCAATTAAAGGTCATTATGATTTTTATTTCCAAGCACAATCAATGATGTTTTTTTTTTAATTAACTATATACTGGGTAACGCTTCGTAAACAAACTGATAATTCGCAATTCATTATTATTAAATAAATTAAGTAATTTTCAAAATATCTGTATACGGATGAATATTGTCATTTGCATATCTTATTTTCACTCTGTTATCTCTAAATGATCTTTTTAATTGCAAGCGTGCATGTAATATTTGTTTACACAAAACGGTTTCAACGATATCTTATATAACTACGTTCGAAACATAGTGGACGTTCAGTTAAAATATTTGTCTTTGAGAAATCTTCATAATCTTTTCTCATAAATCTTGCCATTGAATGTCGAACGTGTTTCAAAATGAGTCGAAAAAATAGCTCAAATCATTCTATAAACGAGTGTAAAATAGTCGTGCAAAACAGTGGAAACGAATATAAACAATTAAAAGCCGGCTGTTTAAGTCTGTTTTTCGGTTCCAAAGAATTTATAATTTCCATATTCGTTGCATAGCCCTGATTCTTCGCTTTTACAAGCTGTTATATTGTCACGAGACAAACGAGCAAAAATTATGAGGATTAAGTACCCTGTGTGTCACACATTTGCGACGAGAGATGTTTCACGGTAGCGTTTTCCAGAGAGAGAGAAACGCATAGACCGGAATTGCATTGTGATTCATTCCTAATGCATTCCGACACGCTACCGCTAGTCAGAAATTCGAAATGAGATGACATACCGACTAAAGACTAATTTATCTATTAATTTTTAGTTAATATTAGTATGCGCTATTTTTAGAACATATACATACTTTTCGAAACATACACATTTAAAATTTTTTTTTTATAACGGTAATCCCGGTGATTAACGATTAAAACGCGTTTAAATATTTCTCTAATAATACACGGAAAAAAAGATTTGCTAATATATGGACAACTAAAATTATTAACTGCAGGAGCAAATTTTCTTGCTTTCATAGTATTTAGTTGTGATAGCTAAAAGATTTGCTAATATACATATATATATATATAACAAGTAAATAATTTTGTTATGAAAGCAAGAAAATTTGCTCCTGCAGTAAATAATTTTAGTTGTCCATATATTAGCAAATCCTTTTTTCCGTGTAACTTAGCATACACTTAAGGTAAACGTCCTAGTGATTGAACGTGTACCGACAATTGAATTACTGATAATATAATTACTAATAATATACTTGTGTTTGTTAAGATACTTATCAATAAATGAAGCAAAATCACAAAGTAATTAAATATTTCTTGTCATTTATTATATTGTTTTGTATATTGAAAAGCATTTCAACAAAGAAAAATACAAAACCAATATGTCAATCACCAATATGTCACATGTATGTTCGACCACTGGGACGTTTACCTTAGCAAATTTTATAATGACTTAGTTGAGTCGAAATGTGCGATTCCATACACAAATAGTGATCGCAACGAATCCACTCTCTGCCGACGAGTGTCTATTACGCGCACCGTGCATTAACTACACGGTTAAGAAACAGGATGGAGCCGACGAACGTTATAATCTCCACGTAGTGGTCGGTCCAGTGTCGCGGAGGATCCCTAAACTGAAATTAGCCTTGAGCCTCCTTAATCCGAGCCTGACCAACCGTGCGTGTCATGCTCACTGCCATATGTGAGAGACGGACAATGATGAGTGTGGTATACATCTGTATGCCGTAAACGTTGCGGGGGAGAATGCGCTAGTGACATACACGACTGCTTCGTGTTCAGTTAAAAGGTTAAAGTCCCGTTTGATATGTATGTCTTTCCTCTTTCACTCTCTCTTCCCGCGAAGAATTTCTACTGTATAGAACGAATGTGTATGTACATCTAAACGCTACTGTCAGCATCATGAAGAAAAATAAAGACGGTGAAATAAAACCTCATCCGCCCGATCGCCCCTCATCATCAGAAAAATTTCGAGATTTTGTCAACTGGAAAAAATGAATTCGTTCTTGTCGGACTAACCCTTAAGCGCTGACACAGATTTATCAAAATATTCCAAAGTTTGATAATTACTTGAGAAAGTGTAACGCCTTTCCTTATCGCCACTTCGTATCTTACTAAAAGAAAAGATGGACGCGATGTGTATACGCTTAAGCGGGAGTGAAACAGCAATAGGTTTTTTTTATTTCATTGGGAATCTATCAGACTCCTGTCAGTGCTTAAGGGTTAAAATTCACGATTTAGTAAATTCATTCTAAAGGGGCTCATAACGCTCGCATCTGAACAATCATAAGTAGAAATGATTTATGAAAGAAAAAAGAGAGGAGCGATGTTGATAAGGTGATTTTTTTATATCTTAAATAATTTCTATAATCTCTATAATCTTTCGAAAATCATATTCGCGCCTTCGTAGTTAACCTTGAGCACTTGAGAGAAATTATTGTCTCTTTTCTTGTTCACGCGATGCTTTACCTACTCAGGCTCTGGAACGAACGTGCGGTTCGTTGCCATCATTACGCGACAGTTGCACAGAGGTATTTAAAGCGAGCGACACGCCCGTAAAAATTCTAGACAAACAGACGTCCGTAATATTACATTACACAGTTCGCGGTTTCCCTGTCGGGCTTCATTACACGCGTGGTTTCATCCCCGACGAATGCGCCTTCATGCAAAAGACCGCACTTGCGTCGCGAGCGAGAAGAAAAAAGGAAGTCCTACTTTGCGTCGTCCGATCTGCCCGATAACAATCAGGCAGAGGCACGAGGTTGGAGCGTCAGTCTTAACCCTTTCGCCACCAACGCGGGACATATGTTTTCCTCACCATTAATTTAATAACCTTGTTCAATTCAATAAACAGCTTTTCTGGCGTTCAAAACACATCAGCTATCTCTCTACTTATTGCCGTTGGATATTGTCTCGTTTAAAGAACAAATCTTAATCGAGAAGAATTTTTTTTTATTTAACTTTTAGAATTCTGATATGCAACTTTGTAAACGTCATTTTCTAAACGCAAGTTAGAATTATCTGATTATATTCTTACGTACACAGAGAATATAAATTTACCGATCTGTTACATAACGAAACGAAAATTTCGTTTCGTGCAATTTATCTCCTTTAAACATCATTTTTATAATAAATAGTAGTCAAGTACGATATATAATTGTCTTACAATTGAATTATACACTTTCTTATATATTTCAATATAATCTGCAATATTCTATATCATTTACTCACATCATCTACGTGAAAAATGATTGTGTACTGTCTACATTAGCAAATATGTAAATAATCCAAATAATCTTGAAATACAGGGCAGAACCTTGATTTATACTTTAAATTTATAATACGTTAAACTCATAGTTGACTTATTAGACATGTATGTCATTTGTGTCGGCGCTAATTACGCCTATGAAAACGATAGGACTCGTTCGTACAACGAGAGAATGCAATTTTTCGATACCGCCGATCGGCACAAGCTCGACAACGGTGACAAAGGTGACAACGGTTGTCGGTGTGTGAGCCCTCGCGATTTAAATTAGCTGTAATAGCGTGCTGGTTACCGCGAAGTTTAGCGCTTCCAGCTGTTGAGGAAGAATGCACGGCATGCACTTCCGACTGTTTGCAGTTTGTCTGCTAATGCAATAACCGTCGCGCCAATTAACAAGTTGGCACTTCCTCCCGTCTGGCGTAAAGATATGCACATTTACTCGTCTCGAATATTTATGGGTCTAATAAGAGTCAGCATCGCGCTCAATTAGTGCAGTAAATTATAAATAGATTCAGGAAGCCCACTATATTTTATCTCGAAGTCAAAGTTATAATGACTAAGTATAGCTAGCATTGTGTGTGTGACTTGCACTGTGGAAACGTTCATTAAGGTATAAACAATCGCAAAATTTAATGAAAAGTAACACTTTTCAGGATCAACAAAGAAGACGTATACTTAAACGAACTAAACGATACGAATGGAAACGAACATCCCGTACACATATGAATAATTCTCGTGGAATTCCGCCGCAATGCGAAATTGCACTCGCGATGGGAATGCAATAAATGAAACTTCAAAATTCAATTTATATGGGAATGTTATGTGATAGAATGATCATTTCTGTAAACTTCAATCTCGGATTTCGCGAAGCATGTGTGCCGACGGTGTGAATTTCACATTTTATGAAATATTGCCGAACTTTCACTAAAAGAATGTATGCGAAAAATGTATCAACAGAACGGAGACGACGCGAGTTGGTTCGCGCGAAAGAACATCGAACGGACACGAAGAATGTAGGTTTGAATCAACTGAGACCACCCGATTGCAACTAGTTGCGAAATCTCGAATGCAGATTGAACAATTGATAACTGAGAGAAAGATTGAACGTGCAGCGGCGCGTGTAAAGACTATGGCCTTTATTCTGAATCCTCTTTTATATCTATTTATATAAAAGTGCCTCTAAACACACATTGTGACTGAAAACGAAGTCAGAAGGCTTATAAGGCTCGATTGAATCAACCGAGTACTCTAAGGCCGGAAACACATAGAAAACCAGCGGTAAGACTTAAGTAGTAAGCATATGGACCAAGCAACGATGATTATTCTCCTTACAATCCAAGAATAATCGATTGCGATTGTTCAATCTTTTTACTGCTTAAGTCTCACGTTTCTCTATGCCACGGTCCTAAGGGTTACTGTAAAGGGTCATTTATATACAATGCGGTTGCAGCTACGTCTTAAAGTCGTCGAACTGATCCGTGAGTCGATCATGTACCTATTTCGTTCGTGTAAACTCGTGAAAAATGAAAAGTTTTGGAACTCCTCAATGAAGCTTTTCATTTGTCATGAATTTGCATGATCGATCCACAGATTAGTGCTACGACTTTAAGATGTAATTGCGTCCACATTGTAGACGATCCTTTAGTTAGCTCACCATTCGGTTGGCGGGCCCAAGTTATATTTATAGATACTTTTATCGATAAAAGAGTGATAAAAGAAGATAAAAGAGTTAGAATAACAACCTGAAAGAATATCCCGTTACTTGTTATCATGTCGCATCTCGCGTCTCGCGAAATTCGTATGTGCAAGACTTACATGATGCCAGGAAGAGCAGGTCCATCAGGACTACCCAATGCGTGAGCTTCTTGCAAACTCCCATGATCTTCCTGCGTACAGTTTGAGTCGTCGTGTGTTTGTCACTGTTATTTTCCACTACTACTTCCGCCAACGTCCCTGTGCTGCACCTCGTCAGTTCTTCCGTGGACTTCTGAAGGGAAAATAACATTTATCGGTCCAGAAAGGTCGCATATTTATAGGATATGTATGTCAGAATATAAACACGAAAAACAATAATATTTCAGTATGTATGTTAGAACACGTACAGAGAACAAGATGAATCGATATTAAATTTGATGGGAAATTAAATGTTAAATTAATTCGTTAGATTATATTAAATTCGTCACGATTAAATCAACGGCAATTAACGGTGTAATTAATTGTGGCATGTATATTTAAATCAATCGAGTAGCATATCTGTGTCATTCCGATGTGTGGCAAGTGATTCGGATTAGTGTGTCTTACTAACAACCATAATAAAACTAATGGTATGGAAACATGTATATTTTAATATTATAATGAATTATATAAGGTGAATCACACGTAGTATCAAAGAGAAACTTCGGTGCAACTGACGCCTGTATTCGATATTCCTTCCGTTCTTATATCAAGCATTTAATTGTTTTTGCAACAAGTCACGATTACAAGTGGCAGATTTATGCAAACAGTTATATATTCTAGGACAGTATTATCAGGTTTCACCTGTCAGACGGTGAATCCGCAATTAAACTACGCGATATGTGTTTCGTCATGCAAACCGCAGGATCGGCTTTCCACCGCAAAACAACACACGAGTGTTCCCAAACATTTTTAGCTCGGTATATTTTATTGTAAAATGATCCTCTGATCTTTTGATCTTGACGCATCGATCAATCCGAGAAACGATGGCCATTCGAATTGTGTCGTGGAACATTAGCCGGCTTATCATTTTATTTGGGAAACGCGATATCACGGCAATCACGATCGGGGTATTTATATCGCTTTCCACGTATCAAGTGTAATCAAGTACACCTCTCGCCAGATTAAAGACTAATTTTTCATAACTTTGTTTTAGAAGCCTTCTTATCGCCACAAGTACGATTAATAATTGATCCCTGCTTGAAATTCAATGTATGCAACCAACTAGATAACAAAATAAAACAAACGTGTCACTCAAGATGTTCCAACATCTGCGAAGAAGAGAAGAGATAAAAGCATCAAAAGATAAATCGCGTGTAAAAAACAGATATATGGTAAGTAAAAAACGTTTTCTTTATCACACAGCAGTCCGAAACAATGTAAGAGAAATAGAAAAAAGTGAAAAGAAAAAGAAAGATTAACTATGTGCTGTGTTACCGTAATGTCTCACTAACCTTTCGTTTCTTTTTATCTCGTTCTCTGTCGAATTCACAACAGCAACGAGGACGCAATAATATATTGGTCCCGTTTTTTCGTATATTGTTTTTTATTTTATATTTTTTTATGTTTTTGTATCTTATATATTTGTCTTTTATATTTTGTTTGAATTTTTGGTTCGAATCAATATATCATTGTATTCTCGTTGCTGTTCCGGGTTCGGCAGAGAACGAGATGAAAAAAAACGAGAGATTAATGAGACATTACATCAACTTAGCCTTTCTATCATGTAGCAGTGTTATGTATGCCACATTGTTATGTACATAATTGACAATATTTTGCATGCAATTGTTCTTTTCAGTTGTCGCAAAATCCTATGATGGTACACTTTGTTTCTGTACAATTTGGGAAGTAACCGATGTCTAACAAAAAAACTTAATTTCATGCAAAACTACACGTCGAAATAAAGTGTCTAAGCTGTATTGAAACGCACTCGTGTGAGATCGCAGCCGAAGAGTACGCTCATTTGTTGCAACAATGACATAATTAAAAAATCGCCCTTACTAAGTTATTAGTACGAGAAAAAGGGTTGGTACATGTACTATTTATAGCTAAAACGACGATTACTTTACTAAATTATGTTAATATGGTATTTTAAAATTTTCATACAAAGTTATAGCAATTCAAAATATTAATCGTGTCTCCTGAAAAATCATATTTTTTTAGTTATGCCATTGTTCCAGCAAATGAGCGATATGTACATGTTCATACGTGTGCGTTTTCAAATTTCGGAAAACAGAACGGATAAATAAGGTATTCTTCGACCATATATGTCCGGAATGAGAAGCAAAGAGAAAATAAAAGAGAAAAACAATCGTGAATCATTATTGTTCTCGAAGAGGAGAAGCATTGTGTCTACATTTCCTACTACTAGCAACTGCAGCAAGAAATGATTTCGACCACCTGTTGGGTACCTATCCGCGGCTTCCTTTTACGGCCTATCTCGACCCATTTATATCTCTAAGTCAGCGGGTTTATTTTTTTTCTTTCATTTTTTTTCTTTCTCGATATTTCAAGAACGAAACATATGTACAGAATGTCACATGGGTTGTTGCCCAAACTTGATTTCAATCTTAAGTTTGATTTTGATCGCGCAAATATGTTTGCGCGGTCTCGATTAAAATTCAAGTTATCTCCTGATATCTAAAACATCTCTAAAAATTGATTAGAAATTACTTTTCTAATCAAAGTTTAAATCGTTCTCTAATGATCACTTTTGAATCGCGTATCTTAAATATTACGACAAATAAATGTTGATAAACGGTTCACCTTGAAGCTGACACGGAAAGTGAATTTTGCAACATGGATATTGAAATTTTCATACGTCACACTTTAACAAGGAAAATGCAGAAACACGAAGAGAAGTCTATTTTTTCGGCTGCACTGCTGCACTGACGCAATAAATTAGAGTGAGACAAATATATTTTATCTCACTTTAATTTGTTGCATCAGTATAGCAGCGTAGCTGAAAAAACAGACTACATTCTAAAGACCATATTCTAAAGAAACTGAAACTTTACAATATTGACATGACGTACATATGAATCTAATAATGCAGCTACTTTTTGTTCCAACTGAAGAACGGTTTCAAGGGTAAAGAAGAGGTGACATTTCACAGCTCGCGGTTTATAACATCACGCTATAAAAGAAATTTTTCCAAAATCTTTCTTTCAATCTCTCAAGAATCTTTGGATTGCCGAGTTTTGCTCGCAAGTTTTACCCTCCGCTATAACGCACCCTCTCCATGATTATAATGCTAAATTTTCTTACGAAACGGTCTTTCGTTCGTCTTAGGGATAACAACGCCGAGACGGTAATTTCTCGTCCCCAGCGGAAGATCCAGTGATTAACGGAACGACGTCGTAGATTACGGAGGATCGATTAACGGGCACTCGCGCGCGTCCTGAAACATGATAATAATATATCCGCGTTTCGGAGGGGACACAGCGCGCTTTCGAGCTCGCAACTCGGTCATCCACTATGAAATAATTAAGGGGGGAAAACGATCGTCCCGACCTCCTGCCCCCTGGACAACACATCGAGGGGATTCGGGTAACGCGACGAATTACGTTGTATCCGACGGTGCGTCCCAATAATATTTTGCGCGCCGCTCTTTCTTGATTCTCCGCGACCTCGGCTTGATGTGTGAATTATTCGCAGCTTCTCTATAGAAGGTTTTCCCACGTGTACACTGGCACGGAGCCGGAGGATTCAACAGGTAGCTGAAACCATCTTAAAAGACGATCGTGTCTTTAATATCGCCGTGACGATATGACGCAAACGATCCCGTCCAGGTCGATTTATGATTGAAGAAGCTTGCGTGCTCGTTGACTCGAAGAATTCGAAGGGGACCAACTAAGATTCCCATTAATTTTATATATTCTAAGTGAGCGATCCATGTAACACTCGTGATGATTGTTGCGATAGCTGCGCGAAGCAATCAAGCAAAAGACTAAAAAGCGAGGGTTCCTGATTTATAAGACGATATACGACAGAGATAACAAATGTAAATCTGTCTTTTTTTCAATATAATGCATCGAATCTACACGACGATAAAATCATTTTTAACTTTAATGAAAAATGATTAACGTGTGTGATGATATACCGAGAAAAAAATGTTCAGTATTTCTTATTATACAATTATATAGAGAAATAATTACTGTAAATTATCAAAAAAATCATTTTCTTATTAGATTCTATTATAATGTTAGTTTCTTTCATATAAATTATATAGAATCAGATAGTGCGTGTGTATATGTATGATTTGAAGCTGAATCGCTTGGCGATGCAAATGCGTGTATACGTGTGACTGATCTGAAACTGAAAAATTTTTGTAAAAATAAAAGGAACTTTTTGCGGGCGAAATTTCGAGATCTCCGTATTGCTTGCACCAATCTTAATCAAGTTTGATGCAAATTATGCACGCGCTAAACATTATATAAGAAATTTATCGTCAGATTTTCTATTATAGTTTTCGTGTTTGAGATATTTGACTTAAAAGATCAATCGACCCAGAAATTCCAGATAAGCTACACGATCGCGTTTTCTTGTTTACTATGTACTCGATGTCGCGCCGCGACACTTGATATTTATCAATAATTTGCGTCGTATTTCATCGTGTACTTCGACAATAATGTATTTTTCTTATTTTGCTTAATCTGGATAGGCGCGATATACTCGATTCTAGAAAATATTCGCGCACGTTTTACATAATAATGAATTAAAGCACATGGTTTCGATCCGTCGTTGAAGTAATTCATCAATTCTAAACTGACCTCACGCAACGTGAAAGGTAAGAGAAAATGAAGAGACACGACGATCGCGCCAGACAGATGCGATTCTAATTACACCCCGACTGCCAGGGCTAAACTGTCTCTCGGTTTTTACATACATTAATTAAATCCCATATATGAATATCATAAACACACAAACACACGATGCGAGAAAAACAATTCCCGTGTACTTAAGATTGTGAATAATAATCAAAATTAAAATAAAATCAAGACGATCATCGTAACGAGCTTGTCTGAACGATCGCTGTATTTTGTTCTTCTTTTCGTGGAGCAATTTTAAAGCTGTTCAGGCTAACTGACCAAGATCCGAGTGAGAAGAACATAAGTATTGGCAGAGTCTCAGCGATGAGTTTACCATGTCGACCATCTCCGACGTTATACAAAAAACCCCGTAAGTGAAAGTACCTGTATGAGCTGTATTCGATCCCGAGCTTGACACGCGATCGTCGTCGTGGGTCGGACTGGATTCAACTCACGGATTCGTACCTTTTCAATGAACGCCGAATTCGCAAATTTCCGATGCTACAGCGACACCCGATCTTACGCGACTGCCGATTCATTACAGCGCGATTTCTTATAATTGATCGCGCTCGAGATATCTTTACTATCGTTCACTATCGATACCTTCGCTATCGTACTTTTTTCCTCCTCACTCTCTTTTCTCTCTACCTCTATCTCTCTTTTTCTTTTTCTGTATATCGCTGACACCGAGACGGAGGATCTCCCCCGGAAGGCAAACCGACGAGACCGACGGCCGAGCTACAACTGCAGAACGGCTGTACCTCGCATCTCCAATCAACTACTTCCTCGCAAGCTCAAATTAAATGTTCTTTCTACCCACCCTGCTTCCCCACTACTACCATACCATCGCCCACACCACCAACATCACCGTCGCTACCACCAACGTTGTAGCCGTCGTCGTCGTCGTCGTCGTCGTCGTCGTCGCCATCGTCGTCGTCGTCGTTATTGAAGGGATTCCGCGCGCTCTTTTCTCATCGTGTCCTTCTGTCACAGTTACGTGCGCGTAACCGCCAGTCGCATACAGCGCGAATAGGATACTGCATCGGGTCCCTTTATTATTTACCCCTCCCTCCCTATACTTTCTGTTTGCCATCCATCACCGCCCTGCGGGCCCTTGGACCCTAGGGTAAACGAGGTCAATTCGATCGGCTCCGAAAATGCGACGCATTCTACCTTCATTCAGTCATTGTGCCACAAAACACAAAAAACCTAGTTACTGCAGCAAGAATCTGTGTGCGGTAGCTAGATCTCGTTATAACATATGGATAGTTGAAAGTATAGCTGCCAGTAGGCATATATTTAGCTATGAAACTGAAGTAATAGTAGCAAAAATCCTAGTTGCAATAGCAAATTTTTTATTGTGGCAACGAATATATTTTTAGCAAACCATAGCTGCAACAGTAAAATTTCTTTTTTTCAGTGTGAACATCTAAATAACACAGTTATATTAGCTGCGGCAGCAAAAATGTAATTAATATAACGTCCTGCTAGTTTTAATTATAGCTATTTTACAGCAAGAACAATTTATAAATAAAAAAGTCAAAATGCAGCCGCAGCATTTTAGCTGCATTAATTGGTGTTAAGAGAATCTAATAGCTGGCAGAATCGCGATGGAGTACATCTTGCTAGGAAATGTACACCTATAAAAAGCCGCGAAATGCTGTGCTGTATGACATCAAGTAAACCAGCAAGTCCAATCATCTAACGTCCTTGTCGCGAACTCTGGATATGACCTTGATCACAGTAGATGAAGAACAAAAGACAAAACTCTAGCGCTTAAAAATGAGAAGAATTCAGCTAAGGGAGAAAACCCTAACAGAAAATATCGGCCTTCCAGAATAGCTAGTGGAAAAGAAAAAAAAAAACATGCAATGAACAAAACAGACAGATTTATTACCCTAGGTGGTACGTCAGTCAAAGTACCGGACAATCTACTTTCTAAGGAGGCTATATGAATTCTGGGGAGAGCCATTTATTGCATAATTTAAACATCGATCGCCAAAGCTTGACCCGAAGAAGTGAAAAATATAGTCCTTTTGGTAGAACTATAAATCACTCATTTGCAGATCAACATAGGAAAACCTCAGCAGAAAAACATTCTGACGCAAATACAATGACGGATTGCTATTTCTGAAGAACTACAACAGAATAGTAAATAAACAGATTACATTTATACAATTTATAAGATTAGACACTTATACAATAAATGGCTAAAAACGGTCAAGAAAAAAAAGGAGCAAAGAAATGTTATTGACAGTTGCAATAACAACTTGCCGAATTAAAAAAAAAATCATGCTAATGAAGTAAAGCGAGAATGTAGCACAGGAAAATAGTGCAAGAGTGTAGTATTACACTAATAAGGAAAAATTAGCAAAAGAAACGGAATGGATTTGTGTTAAAAATAAGAAATCCAAGAAATGGAAATTAAACGAAGCTCCTTCACCGTCGCATAAACATCAGAGAGAAGAGAAGAGAGACTACTGTTCTTACATCACAATAAGTCTTTAAAAAAAGATCATTGCCTCCGGTAAATTTTGTTAGCGTTGCTAACAAAAATATCTTAGGGGAAAAATCAATCGAAGAAAGTATCTAGCAAATCCTACAAGAAATACTAATGAAATTAACTAAATTTAATGAGAGATTACAAAAAGTAGAAGAAAGCATCAAGGAAGCTAAGCCTAAAAAGAAATAACTAGTATACTTAAAATTGTCCTTTAATCCAGAACACTTTTGGAATTCTTTAAGAAGTCTTTTAGAGATTTGTGTTATATGAGAAGTATTTATTCAAGTAGCAGGACGATGTCATTTGATGAGCTAAAGTCAACAAAAAATAGATATTTTATATCTATTTTTATATATAAAAAATATATAGTTTTTATATTATAATATGCCAAAATATAATATGAAATATCTGTTCACCCAGCAAACATGATATTATTAAATGATATTTTAATAATATTTTAATAATTGATGATAATATTAATGATATCTTTAACATCAATAATATACCATTAAAACTATGTAAAACATTCTCCTTTAATCCTTATTTCGATTCCGAATAACACGTGAAGCTTTACAGAAAAATAGCTGTGCAGCCAAATGATCGCAACTATGTTTACAATGTCGAAAAATTTTGTCTCATTTTTACTGCTACAACTTTGTCAAAACATCATAACCGTGATGATACTGTGATGAAACAAAATTCTGCATTTTAAGCTGCGACAAGCTGTTATCGCAACAATTTTAAAATTTTACGTACTATTTGAGATGATTATCTTATCATAATTAAAATAAATATTGAATATTTAAACAATCGCAGCAATGTCAAAATCAAAGAGCAATTCAGCATCGGATCGTTCCTTTTTGATAAAGTGAATTGAAATGTTTGCGAAACATTCGGAATCAGATAAAGAATCCATGCGGCTCAGACCCGAAAACCAAATCTAATATTTGTGGACACCGCGAAAGTCTTAAATATCAAATATCAAATGTTTAAGCAAGTTGGATTAAGTTATTAACAGCAACGCAAAATGTATAAAAAATCTTTTTATTGATATCCTAAGTTTCTTTTTGCATGAATATATTTTCCTCGTAAACATGCGTATAAAAGCATTAAAAGTGTAGTTAATGAATAGTAAGTACTTGTGCAAGTAGCAGGATGTCATTTGATGCGTTAATGACGTATTAATGGTGCATTATTGACGTTAAAGATGTCATTAACACTATCATCAATTATTAAAATATTATTAAAATGTCATTTAATAGTACCATGTTTGCTGGGTGAACAGATATTTCATATTATATTTTGGCATATTATAATTATAATATATAATATATACAATAATAATTATAATTTTGGCATATTATAATATAAAAATTATATATTTTTTATATATAAAAGTAGATATAAAATATCTACTTTTCGTTGACCTTAGCTTATCATCAAATGGCATCATCCTGCTACTTGGATAAATACTTCCCATATAGCACAAATCTCTAAAAGACTTCTTAAAGAATTCCAAAAGTGTTCTGGAGGACTTGGGAACTCTTTTGGAACACTTTAAGAAATCCTTTAGAGATTTATGCTTTTAGAAATTTAATGCTTTTATACGTTCACGAGGAAAATATATTCATGTAAAAAGAAACAGGATTTCATTAAAAAGATTTTTTGTACATTTTGAATTGATTTTATTAATAACCCGATACTTTTACCCATAGAATAATTTGAAAAGAAAATAAGAAATAAGAATAACTTAAGTACCGGGGGTTATTCGAACAACCGGATAATTAGAGAAATATCTGAGTAAGTTAAGAATATCCGCGTAATTTGACAAATGCCCGAAAAAATCGGTTATCAACTGTTTCCGTCTGTAAACATGCATGTCTAAAAGATGTCAAAAAGATATCTAAAAGATATCTTATGCAACATTTTGTTGCATAAGACGTCTTTTAGATATCTTTCGACATCTTTTAGACATGCATGTTTACTGGGTAGTTGCCATAATTATAAAATAATCGATCAAACTGTATATATTGTTATGTTACATACAAAATTCGTATATTTGTCACTTTGCGGTTACTATTATCATGTTTTCCTTCGAGTGCACGGACAGGATCTGCGGGAAATACCAAATATACATGCGTAAGCGCCGAGGCGTCCGTTGCATATTCATAGGATATAACTGAACGTTCTCTCTCCTTCTTTCACAATTTTTTCATTCTCATGCAAAAGAGACATTACTTCGAGGTATTAACAGGTGTCAAGGTGCTGTGTTGAAAGTACACGATATTGCACGCAAATTTAGTCTGAGCGTTTATAGTTAGATAAAAGCTGTGTACTCGAATGCTCACCTGCATCTTGTATGTTGCGAAGTGCGTTCCAACGATCGACGATCGATTCCAGTGATCCTGCGAATCTTTCCACGGTCAGATGTCGGTCAACCAACGGCGATGACGTTTGTGCGAATTTGAATGTATGAAATTCGAAATCGTACAGTACGCACGCACATGCGTACGCGTTACGTGAGACAAGAATCCGCCGAATCTGTTACTCGTGATAGAACACCACACGTACTGAGCACACTCGACCCCACCATAAGCGCGTCATCGCTAGACACCGGTATGATTCAACCTTAATCACGACGAATCCAGATGGCGTATTGTTCGCGCGAAGAAAGCGCGAATTGCACAATACAGCGGCGGTGTTAGGGCGATGTCGGATATTACCCAAGAGAAATTCCACTGTGTGGTCTCTTAATAGCTGTACATACAAGAATGTCGTTCGATATCCTTCGGCAAACATTGAAAGTTATAGTATAAAGTATTTATCTCGTTATCTTGATAATTATGTGCGTTCAGTGTATCGTACACAGGTGTATTGATATCACAATAGACATTTTTCTACAGTTGGTACAGTAGAGATCGACTTTATAGATGTGCTTTTGTTATTCTTTATTTTCCCATTTCATTCACGTTCCTTCACTCTCTTTGTTTAAAACTTTTCAATTGTAAGGAAACAAACAATGTTAATTATTAGAAAGGTGTAACAAGCGATAAACCGCCTCGGCATTATCGTTGAAGATTATCTTATCGTGGTTGACCAGACAAGATCCGGTGATAACCTAATTCGAAATTTGACTTAAAAAGCGGGAAACAATGGATTTCTCTTACTTTCTATACTTTCTTCTTATCTCTCTCCTCCATTCTTTCTTTTTCCTCTGAATCTCTCCATGTGCACCTGCCTTGTTGTAGGTATAGGAGACCAAGAGATAGCGCAATTAAAACGAACAAGCCTATACAGTTTGCTGCTTCAACACGCGTTCGTCGCGTAGCGACAATGGAATTTTAGCTTCGCGTTGGGAGCGCCAATACGACTTTAACCGATCACCGATAACAATCGTTGACGTTGGCGTTATCGTCGTCAAGGGGGCCGATCCCGATAGAACAACGAGCGCAACCATCGTCATCCGTCGCTATACTTGACAGAATCGTTAAAATGGCTGATATGATGGAATCGCCGCCGCTATTCGATACTAACGAGAAGAAACTGGATGATTTGGAGGACGACGACGAGGATATCTTCGCGTCCGCAGTGCAGGTATTGCAATGCCGAAACGCGACAAGTCGGATAATCGGGAAGACCGTTGTAACCTAGACGAGTATTGCGACCTCGATGCCGCAGGCACGCGACAGAACGATCTGTATGTTTACTCCTAACATTAGAGAAAAACGCAATAATTATAAAATACGTTTTTTTCGGCAATCACGAATACACAAACTCGTGAAAATCATAACACTCCCGATTCGCAATCCAAATGCGTTGTTAATCGTTCGTTATATTGCCAAAACTATACTAGGTTCAAGAAGAATAAAGGATCTGTTTTTTTAGCTGAACTAAGTTGCCTTTTTGTTATTTAAACTAATATGTAACTTAGCGTTAAAGAGAAAAGGAATAAAATTCCAATATAGCACTAGTTCAGCTAAAAAAGGTAAGCTTAACGGTTCATTTATCAGCAGTTTAGAGAAGATTGGGGATCTCCTTAAAAAGCTAGATTTTATTAACATTTATTAGTTTGCTCTCAAGAATACTAACTTCAGCTTAGAGTTGGCTTTCTGATTTTCTTGACTTTCTGGTCTATGTATCCTTTCAGATCACTTCTTTTTGACTCCCAACTTTTATGGATATATTTGCGATCTACTGCTGAATTGTTTCTACAGTATCAGAATGTCATAGTACTTGTATTTCTTGAAAAATGAGTCTAATCTAGTCAAAAAATTACTTTATATAGTTGTAATCTATTCAACACTTGTGACCTCTAATGTAGTATTATGCTTGTATATTATATTAACTATCTTGAATATATGAAGACTTCATATGTAAAATTGCTGCGACCTACTTAAAATTATACATTACTGTTAATAAAACATCTGTTGCACACAGGAAGTTTTGATATATGTCTCTTTTTGACCAATATTTCATGATAAAAGCTTAGTTATGTATGGAATATGTTATTATGTTTTTGTGATTGAGAAAAACAATTTAACAAGCTAGCATATCTCTTTTTGACATTGATGTATGAAACAATATATCTTTGCAATATGATCTTGTGAATATAACAAAAAAAGAATTCTGCAATATAAATTTATGCATTTAAAATAAACTGATGAGATTTTTGTATTTGCAGGAGCAGAGCCAGTTGGAGGATACCTCACCTTACAATGGAGTATCCAAGATCCAAGCAGAATTGCCAAAATTATCATTGCGAGATGCACCAGAGGAGAATTCATTCTCCTCAGTGTCCAGTCCAGCACCAGGTCCTCTGAGTCCTCCGTTAGGACCAATGAATACAGACATTGGTGATCTTCATGATGTTCCTATCAACGATAATGCAGATATGCTAACTTCAAGTGTTATACAATCTCGCTCTTTAGAAGAGGTACATGATATGAATTTTGTGCGATATTAGAATTATATAATTAAATATCGTAATATCTTCTCACATATCTGCATACGTATATATAGGTTCCAACAGATACATCCGAAGTTTACTTGAAGATCACAGTTACTTCCCCTCAAAAGATAGGCGATGGAATGGGTGCCTATGTTGCATATAAAGTTGAAACAAGAACGAATATGCTTATATTTAAGAAGCGGACTTTTAGCGTAATTAGACGTTTCAGCGACTTTCTAGGACTCCATGACAAATTGACTGAGAAGTATCTCAGGAACGGCAGGATAATTCCACCAGCTCCAGAAAAAAGTGTCATTGGTAAGGATAAAGAATTTTCTCTTTCAGTTTGCTTATTTTCATAGAAAAATTATAAAGAAATCGCGTGAATTGTGTTTTATAGGAACAACAAAAATTAAGATGTCAGGAGACAAGAGTCAAGAACAAAATTCGAGCTCCACCGAATTCATTGAACGACGTCGAGCAGCTCTCGAGAGGTATCTAAATAGAACAGCCTCACATCCAGTTCTGAGTATCGATCCTGACTTCAGAGAATTTCTAGAAGCTGGTCAGTAATAATACGTATCAAGCCCCAAAATCGGTCATTTCACGTTTCGGGATATAGCCATAATAAATATATTTTTCTTAATAAATTATATATGATTTTAATATGATTTATTTTTCTAAATAGATGTGGAATTGCCTAAAGCTACCAATACATCTGCATTGAGCGGTAAAGGTGTAATGAGGCTTTTCAATAAAGTCGGGGAAACTGTTAACAAGATAACGTATAAGATGGATGAAAGTGATATGGTGAGTTCTTTAACGAGAACACCTATTTTATTTGCATGTATTTCCTATGAGGTATTGTGAAATGATTTTTTGTTGCTTGCGATAGGAGGGTAAGGTATGTTCATTCAGAATAAAAAATAAAAGTGGTAGTTAGTATCTTAATTTATACAGGGTGTTCCGTCATTACCGCATTATCTCTTAATAGTTTTATCATTAATCTCTTACGCGAATTTTGTTTGAGAAAAGATAAATTTAGTAAACATGTATCTTCATGTTGCTTTACAGTGGTTTGAAGAGAAGACATCGCAAATAGATTCTCTTGATATCCAGTTGCGCGCTTTGCATTCTGCAGTGGATTCCTTAACAAATCAAAGGAGGGAATTAGCAAACTGCACTGGTGCTACAGCAAAATCGATTGCTGTTCTTGGTCACGGCGAGCCAGGAGCGTCTCTCGGCAGAGCGCTGGCACAGTTAGCGGAAACATTGGAAAAAGTGGAAACTATCAGGAAAACACAAAGTAACAGTGATCTCTATCAATTAGGAGAAATGTTGAGGGATTATGTTGCGCTCATCGGTGCAATTAAAGTCAGTATTATCTTGAACATTATATATCATCTTAGCACTTTATTGCAAATTTTTTATATGACTGTGTGTTGCAGGATGTATTCCATGAAAGAGTAAAAGTCTTTCAGAATTGGCAACATGCTCAATTGATGTTAAACAAAAAGCGTGAGCAGAAGGCGAGACTTGAGCAGTCTGGACGAACGGATAAAACGAGTCAAGCAGCTACCGAAGTCATAGAATGGGAGGCGAAAGTAGACAGAGGCCAAGAGGAATTTGACAATATCTCGAAGATGATAAAAGAAGAGGTGGAACGCTTCGAATTGGTTAGGGTGCAAGACTTCAAGAAGCAACTAATTGAATATCTGGAGTCGATGCTACAACATCAGAATCAACTTATCAAATATTGGGAAAGCTTCCTACCGGAGGCACGAGCAGTGGCATAAACATTCCTCACATAAAAAAAATAAGATACAATTTTTTTTATAACGACGATAAGGCCAATACTTAGCATGTAACGTGAAAGAAGAAATTCTATGCCGTTGATTAAGATAAGTTGCTCGTTTGCTGATAATTATTTTTTTCTCAACGATGTCAGATGACTTCGAGAAAGCAGTTTCTTAAAAACAAGGAAAAGGGAAAAAAGCCATACACTTATAATTTTTGAAGTACTGCTGATTCGTTTAAAACTTTCTACGAGCAACAAAGTATTCTATTCAATACATTCTAATTAGACAAACCTAATTCATAAGAAATCTCAGATTTTTATTACATTTCAATTATTGTCTTATATAGTATATTCTATTCTCTATTATTACTTTATCTATACTATATACATTATATGTAACTATATATATGAAACTGTACAATTTGTTAAAGAATGTTACTGGATAATAAAGATCAATTGTGGTTATATAAACAGAGAATTTGTTTCTCTCTAATTAAGGAGACCTAAAAGCTTTAGGATATAACATTTGTATTTAATATTATGTAAGCAATATATTGTTATAGTTTTATAAAGTATATAGTTTTTATATTGTTACACAAGTTTTAAAATTATTAAATAGTATATGTTATTGTGAACAGATGTACATGTGTGTGTATTCACAATACATAACTATATGTATTTTTCAAAAAATATATATTTACATATACTACTGTGTCCAAAAAGTAAGGTGACATTGCATTTATTTCGAAAATTCTTTATTTATTCTTGCAAATCAATTTCGTCCCCTTCAAAGTAATCCCCCCCTGATATAATACACTTATTCCAACGGATTTTCCAATCTTCGAAACAGTTGTAATAATCGATTTCAGGAATGGCC